CTATCCTAACAAAATTATTGCTTACTAAGATTTATGAAATGGGGTCTTGGCAGAAAAGTTGTGTCTTTTGGCATATTTTGGCATATTTTTATTAAAAAAAAACTTGGCGGACTCCTTTTGCGAGATGGAAATTCTTAACAGCTATCCTAACAAAATTATTGCTTACTAAGATTTGACTCGTTTGACAAATGAATCAAATGAACCAAATCGACGCTAAATTTGGTTCATTTGATTTGACGGATACCCTGATTTAAACCACTCGATGACAATCTTTTTGATGCTCAGATTGTGAACGAGCGCGGAATGCTGATCCATGAACCCACTGAAGCCGAAGTGGCTGAGACACTAGCACTACTCACAGACAATTGTGCCGAGGCGTCAATAGAGGCGTTCAGCTTGCGGAGAGTTGACACTCAGCCAACCAAATGTTGGACACCAGACCCTGAGGGGATCGGGCTCGAAAAGACCAGCCGTACCAACGGAGGTCGAAACCCAACTACAACAAACAGAAACTCACAGAGAGATAGACCAGTCAAAGGACTTCTCACCGGTAAACTGTCATTTTCCTTGGGCCGAAGTGAGCGGACTCGACATATTTCTCTGGCTGGCTGGCGCGCTGCTATCGCTGTTACATTCCCAATCGATAAAGACAGTTTTATCTACTTAATGGTCGATACCTCCCTCACCTCCTGATATCCACCACGAATACACATGCTTCGAGTCGAATCTACCTCGCCTATTTCGTCGCCTTGCATACCGGATTAGAACCTCTTCGCCAAGTGGTGAATCTATTTTCTGGGCACGAAGAGTCAAAGCAGAAAGCCGGGAAATGTTAGAAGAATTTTTTGACCGACTCATAAGCGAGAGTAATGGTGAAACAGAAGGTAAGTAGGATATCAGACATGCGGCTAAATACAAGACCTCGTACGTAAGCTTGGGCTTAGCCCAGCGGTGTGCATGCAGAATAGATACTAGTAATAGTAATCCAGGAGAAGAATGAGCAATAGACCGCTGAAAAGACCTCGTCGGCAACATCTGGTCGTAAATGGCGGCAACCCTTAGTTAGATGTCTCATACAGGAAAGCACAGAGAGGTAGTCAATATGAAATTGATTCACAGCAGCTTCGGAAGTCCAGGAGAACAGTCTTGTTGGACCAAAAGGACCGCGGCCCTCAGAGGACCGTTTACTAGCTTTTGTTTGACAAGTCTCAACGCAAACTGTCAGAGCACCAGCTACACATACTTGGCAGACTTGGCACGGATTGATTGGCCAACCCTTGGCGGACAATTGTCAGAGTTGAAAATTATTAGTGACTTTCCTGTCACAATATCCTCACAAAATGAGTTTCCTACAGTTCCACGTGAGAAGACTTAGAAAGTCAAATGGAACAAACAAAAAAACATTTCGTTCCCGGGAAGGCTTGAACTTCCAACCTCCCGATTAACACTATAATTTGGTTAGCTCTCTGAGAATTTGGAGAAGGGAAGAAAGACATACGTCGGACGCGCTAACCGATTGCGCCACGGAAACTTGATAATCGAAAGAACAGCAATAACATTACAAAGCATTTAATGCCAGACCGCAGCAACGAAATTGGGACACGTGATACCTACGGTGGTGCACCAGACTTGACAGTTGAAATTTAGTAGTAAAATGCCGTATAATGAGAACCACACAGTTATCTACACAAGTCAATGGAAATAAAGCTATAAAACTGTTGTTGACTACCTCAATTGGTGTTATCTAAACGAGTGCTAGAGCAACATAGGACGCCCTTTAGTGGCCTCTAACGGCCTCACTGTGTGTAACAAGTGCATTCGCGAAACAGGACCTTCTGGGGTGGTTGAGTAGTCTTCAAACATCCTGTCGGGGGTCTCCTTCTATTGGTTTAGGAGGTCTCCGGATTTAAGCGCTGTTAGAAGGGGCATCATAGAGGATCAACGGTTGTAGATGCAATTCTCAACGAAGATCCTGAAGGCGTAATTGAGAGAGGTTCAGACAACGTAGACCATACGCCAAATCACGACGGAGACTTGAGCCTGAGGAGCGACGTCTTGGACGGTGTGCTTGACGGCCTTCTTGCGCTTGGATATGTGATGAGCGGCCCGAATCTCGCGTTCCACAGCACCTCTGTAGAGCATAAAATGGGCCGGTGTTGGCACTCCTGGTCACTCACTGGTCATCCTCGGGGTCGTCGGTTTATCTCCAGCTACTCCGCCAACATTCCCAGCCTCATGAGATCCCGTAAAACCTTGTTGCGAGCGAACCAGCCAATTAGGAGCCCCCGCAGCGCCGCAGCAGCAAATGGACCCTCTCACGGATCAGTGGGGGTCTCAGATGAGCCAACAGCGCTCTCAGCTGGTCAGGATCTCGCTGCGCTGCAACGCTGCAATATCGCTGTTCCTGCAGGGCAGTACGTCCAAATAAATCAAATTAGTAAAATAAACCAAATCCAACCCTTTGAAATTTGACAAATTGGTCAGATAGAGAAGTCTTAACAGGAAAGTCTTTTATTTTGAAACTGTCAAACAGGTAGAAGAAATGGCTCTGTTCTCTCTCAAAAAGGCGCAGGGCGCGCAGAAATTAGTGCACATTACAGCGAAATTAGCTGCAAAATTACGGCAGAGATTGACCAATCAAAATCAGGCGGAACGTGCAGGGATTTCGCGACAGATAAAAGTCTCGGCGGACTCCTCTTGTAAATGAAAATCCTCAACAGTCAACCTTTAAAAAAAATGTCAAACGCGATTTCTACGCATAATCTCTACGTTTTGCCTGCTTTTGATTGGTCAATTTCTACTGCAATTTGGCAGCCAATTTTGCTCTACGACACAGCAGTTTGTACTTACTAGTATATCTGCACTGGCGCCTCTTATTTAGATTCTAAAACTGTCTATCTCCACTTTCATTCCACGTTCAACAACATTGCTTGTTAACATTTGGCAAATGAGTTGAATCAAATCGAACCGAATGTCGCGACCTCTATGTTTAGATAGGTGATTTGATTTGATTTGATTTAATGGATACATTGCTGCAGGGATCACTACACTCGTTTCTCTGCAGTGGTCGTAGTAGATAGAAAGCAGTAAGGCCAGTGCGTCTAAACCCACTTCACTCAGCACCATTTACTAACCATATACTACGCCGAGGACTCCTGACTTCGATATGAGGTCTTGGAGCGTCTTGTAAAGCCTGCAATTACTAGTAGAGGATGAGTTGTTGTCACGTGCAGAGCCTACTTGGCATTTCATAGATTGCGATACTAGTAGCTTACCACCTAAGTTACTCCGTACTTCGCTAAACAAGACACCTGCAAGACAGACCTTCTTCTAAGTAGGCCGCCAGACCCAAAAAGAAGTCCTCTGGAGCAGATTTTTCCACCCAACTACCAACATCCAAATCCACCATCTCAGCTAGTCTGTCGTTACTGCGGAAAATGGGCGATGAGAGACACTGCATCTCAACCTGAAGAACAATTTCCGAGTTTGCGGTATCCGGTCACTCAACTGGGTGCCCTGACCAGGAGATGTATTATATTGCAAGGCCACGTGCAGACCTGGGATTTGTATTCGATGCAACCTATTTTGTCTGGTAAATGAACGGCTAAAACGTTCGCCTTCTCGTGAGTACAATCAATGACTCTCTTCAAATCCGTTTCTCATCAGTTGTAAGAACCCAGAACTCTCCCTTGAAACATGTCTACTCGTAATCGGGGTGGCAAGTTCATGGTCGGCACCAGAGCACATAATACTCATTGAACAGTGTGTCCATCAAATCAATTTGGTTCAATAAATTAAATCAAATGCTTGATAAATCAATCAAATCGGTGCTTCCGTCAAAGCAAATCGGCCTCTGTCCTCTGTAAATGAGTCAAATTGAAGGCTTGGCAGGAAAGTCTCTGAAGTATTTTGAGATATTTTCGTTGGAATAATAATAGTCTTGGCGGACACTTGATCTGGCGAGAATCCGTGATAAATCCTAATACCAATATATTGCCTACTAAGGCCTTGAATGCTCCCTCCAGCTCGACAAAAGAGGAAGTTGAGCTTGGGGAAGCGGATGCTTAGAGAATTAAACCAAGGTCTCCCAAACAAGTGTGGGAACCAGAAAGCGACCCTGGGAACGAAATCCACCGAATCATCATCGACCACCACGACAAACATGACACCATGAAGAAAGCAGAATATCCAGATATTATCGACCACAAGCGAACAGCGATGATATCTATCACGATAGCACAAAATTTTGGAGGCTGTTGTTGAAAATGTGTCTTATATAACCATTTTCAATGGAGGATACTAGTACATTGTACTGCAAGTTGCTACCAATTCAAAATCTCTCAACTCCGACCGAATAGTCTCACTTCAAAACGTAACAATGTAACTTGTTATGAGTGGTGATACATTCACGATCATTTCGAATGCCCTTACCCGATATCGGAATAACGTAACATGGAGTGAGCCCGTTGTAGTGATACATCCACGACCACTCCAGATCCTCTCGCTTCAAATCGGACAATGGAGAAGATGGAGGAGCAGTGGGCTTTTTGTAGTACGTATGTGAGAAAACCGGCAAGGCGGCGCCCAACCTCAGGCTAACCTCAGGCTAACCTAGAAGGGCCAGCCCAAGTAGAAGTGGATGTGAATCTTCGATCGAGCCTGATGCGAGAGATTCTTTGAGATGGTTGAAGCATGCTACATGCGCAGGCCTCAGGCTGGCCGTTCGCTGAATCGCGCCTCATGAGTCGTCAATTGATCGTTGCAAATAATGAGAGTGGAATAGATGACTGGCCAGCCTGAGGGTGAGCAGATTTCACTATCCTCGGCACCTCTTCACGTCTCTTGGCATGATGTCAACTATCCACTCCTCGAGACCTCAATCACAGTCCCACATGTTAGTGGTGGAGTACTAATGTCCTACTGATCCACTTTCTACAAGGTTTTTTGTCCAAGAGAAGAGAGCCTCTTTCGCCTGTCTTACATATCATTCAATATTCAACATGCAACCTCTTCGTGTAGTTAGCCGCAACCTCCGAGTGTCTGCCTCCAGACCAAGCCCCATCACCTCCCGCCTCCTCTCCACCACCTTCCCCCGCTCCGTAGACCACAAAGACAGACTCCATTCCAATGTCGAAGGTTATCGCGAAACACAGATCTCGAAGGCCAACAACCCTCATTTGACCAATACCACATCAACCATCGCCAATGACATGCCTTCTGTCGGGGCGGACAAACCCTCACCCGAGTTTCTCTCCACCGTCGATCCCAAATTCACACCCAAGGATTCTGTACCGGAGAATGTGGAGCGAATGACGGGCGGAACACAGAAAGGCGTCCCTGAAGATGGAGCGAATGCCGAACTCGGCGTCGGCGAAATGGAAGGTGCCCAATTCAAGGTAGAGCCTCTACGCCGGGAGGGAGAGGATCCCGCAACCATGAGAGCAAGATTATTATGTCCGTGTCAGATCCAAGCACTAGAAAATAATATGACATGAGTCCTCACCACATCCAACAACGCTAACACCTCGATGCTGAACAGACCAAAGCCGCAAAAGAGGAACGCTAGAATCCGACCTCCTCCTCTCCACCTTCGCCTCCGCCCACCTCCACACCATGACCGCCTCCCAACTCCAACAGTACGACCTCTTCCTCGACGAAAACGACTGGGACATCTACTACTGGGCCACGCAATCCCCGGCCAACACGCCCACGTCGCAGGAGACGGCCGAGGGGAGCGTCAGCTCTGCCACGAACACCTCGCAGACCACGACGGAGTATCAGAGCCCTGCGTCGCCGGGCCAGGCTCAGGAGACGGATGGCTGGCGGCAGGGTGCGCCGAGGAGCGGGGAGTGGGCGCAGACGGTGGGCGCGTTCAAGCCGGCCTATCGGCCTGTGCCGCAGCGGTGGAGGAACAGCGAGATTCTGAGTCTGTTGAGGAAGCATGTGAGGGAGAAGAGTGCCGGTGGGGTGCTGGAGGGTGTTAATGTGGGAGGGGTGAAGGTTTCGGGACAGGGACTGGGGAGGATGCCGGAGGTGCAGACTTTCGAGTGATAGTAGGTGGTAGATCGCTTGCGTCAATTCATATAGATGGCTTCAATCTTGCCGCTTACTGCTACTAGTGTTATACAAGGCATAGAAGTGCTGACCTGAGTATCCTGAGATAGTACTGCTCAGACCCATCCATCCCTAAAGTCGAGTAGAACGCTGCAATCCGACTCTGACGACCCATATCCAGATCGGAGATAAAACACCCGTACTCATACATCTCTACAACAGCGGATGCAGAAACACATAGTTAGAGGCAGAAATACTAGTATCTAACCAGCTACCCACGTCCTTGCACAGACATGACATAACGTAACGTAAACGTGGCGGAAGATCGAACGCGGTTTGCATGTCTACACTTACTGTACAGGAGTCTCCTACCCAAGCCCCGGGCTCCGATGGCGGTATATGGCGGATGGAACGATTGCGACACCTCGAACTAGCTGGCTTGTTTCCTTGCTTGTTTCCTTGCTTCCAACCATTTATCCAGCCTTGCACACATAGAACGATGGCATATCGAAACACAGAAGCAGGCCGCCATGTCTTACGTCGAAGCCGTATCGTCGACGGTGCCGGGCAACAGCAATGGCAACATATCCATCTGCCTCCTTCTCTTATTCTTCTTCTTCGTCGTCTCGTAAGCTCCATCAGTCCACATCATCCGTTCCGGCATTCGGATTCGACGCCATTGCGCCATTGACGGCTCCCTTCCTCTGCTCGGGATAGAAATCCACAACCCCACCCCTCCCGATCATGCCCTGCCGATCATACAGCGATCTCGCGCGGATGAACGGGTCCAATTGCCAATAATTCTGATTCAGCCTAGCGGCCAATTGATCCCGCTCTTTCGCCAACTGGACCGCGTCGGCATCATTCGACGCCCTCGCGATCCACGCGAAGGTCTTTTTCTGGAATTCCAGCACGTCGATACTCCGCTCTTCTTCCAGCCTCTGTCTGCTTTCCGTGTCCTTCATGGCGTTGTTTTCTCCTTCGATGGGCTCGATGTACTTGTAGTCCCAGTCCTCGTCCCCACCGAGCTCCTTCACGATCTGGCTTCTTGGGATGAATTGTTCGAGGTCCTCGACGGATTTGGTGAAGTGCACCTTTGCTGCAACGACGGGGTCGAGCCAGCCCTTGATCATAGTCCAGATGCCTTGAAATACCCAGGGGGATTTATGGACCAGCACTGCGCCGAGGGATTCCGGGTAGTTGGCCTCGAAGATCTTGATCATGAATTTCAGGGGCGCGTAGTCCATGTTGGAGAGGGTGAAGGAGGACATGTCGAAGAGGATGGTGGCTGTCTCGACGGGAGGGCGTAGTACCAGTCTTGCGCTCTCGATGATGAAGACGGTGTACCGCTCCATCGCGCGCTCGCTCTGCTCTCCCGGCCGGTGTAATCGCACGCGGACAAAACAGAGGGGTCGGCCCTCCTTGTCCACTCCATGTAAGAAGCTCTTCCCCTTCCTCAGCTGCGACAGGAAGTCCTCGCCTTCTTTCTTCACGAAACTGTCACTTCCAGATTTCGAGTCTGCGAGCGCTCCACCCTCGCCGGACCGCATGATATCGTCGTCAACGTGCATGTCTTTGCTGCGCCAGCGCATCGTCGAGATGAGCATGACGAGCGCGCGTTGCACGTCCCATTTTCGGGCGCGGAGGAAGCGGAGGAGGAGCGCATCCGGGTGGTCGCATTTCACCATGGACCAGAATGCGGTGCGGAGTTCTTCGGGCGAGACTTCCTTGAGGGTTTGTTGGAATTCTCTCGTTTGGCCGTACTTGTCGTCCGCATCGCCGGTGCCGGGGCCTAAGGGGTTTGAGTTGTTGGTCTCGGTGTTGTCATCGTGGTGCTTTTTGCTGCTGCTGAAGAGGGAGTGGCGCTTCTTGCTGCTACTGTTGTTTTTCTTGGAGGATTTGAGAGACTCAGTGTCTGTATTTGGTTCGCTGGTGGGGGGAGTTGTCGCGGGAGTGCCGAGCGCGGCCGGGTTTGGAGAAGAGTCTTTTGCTCCAAAGGTTTTGAGGGTCACGGACCAGAAGTCTCGCAGCTTCAATTCTTGTTCTGGAGTCAAATTGCCCAGGTGGCCTGGAGGTATGGGCATCTCAGAATAGGGAGGAGCGCGTGGGGGCGCACTGTTGGGATCTTGAGGATGTGGTAGGTCCGCTGAGTCTTGAGATGGAGTGAGAGCGTCAGGGGAGTGTTCTGGTTGGCGAAAGAGAGGACCGAGAAGAATAGCTGCTGCGAGCGCTGCGCCGAGGGTAACGATTAATGACGAGGAAGATGATTTTCGCGTAAGTGTAGTTGGGAAGCCTCGAGGTCTTGTACCGACTGTGCTCAGTTCTGGACGGGTGGTTCGTGTTCCGAGAGAGCGGCGAAGGATTCCAACACAGGATATGGGGGTGAGGCGGAGGGAGAGAAACGGGCGATGACGATTAGTTGTAGGTATGGGTAGAAGATATGTTTCTGTGACTCTCAGCCCACGCGCAATCATGTAGAAGCGAAGAAAGTCAGGAAATTTGGTCGATTCAGACAATTCAGACAATTCAGACAATTCAGTCGCAGCAACGTCATTACATTTTCCCCCAATGAGACTGCTTACACTGAAGGATGGAGGGATGTAGGGATGCAGGGATGGAGGGATGGGAAATGTCATCATGTCTCGGCCAAGGAGACAGCTATACACGTGGTAATAGTACTGTACAGTACATCCTCAGCTCCGACTTTCGACCCAACAAATCTTTCTTTCACTGCACAGAACTTGAACCAAATTGAAGTTGAACTGCATTCAAACACATCACATGAGTACATGAGCTGGGTGGTCGAAAGCTGCTGCAGTGGTGATGCAAAATCTCATTATAGCGCTCCGATGACCATCCTCCCGTTCCCTGCTATTCAATCTACGACCCTTCTGGGAGCCTGCTCAATCTGTTGGACAAAGTCATATCTACTGGAAATTTTGCTGTCCGCCAAGACAAATTAATATGTGCCATGATTTCAAGATTGCTGCAACTTCAGTCGCAGACAAAGAGCAGCGAGCGCCCGTATTCCAGATCGATGCTTCTTGATCCACCCATTACCACGTTCTGAATTCTATCCTGCTGTCCCAAGGCTAGCTATGCTAATGTCAAAGTCGTTTCTAGTTCATTTGGCTATCATACTATTAGATTTCTGCTTTGCTCACCAAAAGAATATGGACAATACACTGCTACTACTACATTTATCGACTTTGTCCAGAGGAACAAAGATTTCTATGTCTCATTATGTGGAATCGAACAAACTTCCTTTTGTCTGCTGTGTTGAACATGCCCACCTTATCCTCATACTCTTTGTTCTACCGCACAACTATTTCCTTCATATGTCTCTACCCCACAGATGGTCTATATATCGTCAAAACCTCTCTTTCCGAGCCGTTAGTTCTCGACTTCACTGAGCTACTTTGCACTCAAATTGGAGCCAGAAAAGTTTTGCATTTGCATTCTATCCTCTGAGAGATCGTTCAACCAGCCCTCTTCCATTTGGTCTTATATGCTTTCATCTTGTTTTACCAACATGACCGACAACGACACCTCACGCGGCAGGTCCGCAGGGCGTAAGCCGGCCAAAAAGCGGAGATTATCCTCCAAGCGCAGGTTCTCCTTCACCTGGACATCGAGCGATCCGGTACCAACATCAGAAACTGATTCCATAGATTACACCCCATTTCTTCCGTCACCTCCCTCCGTCTCTGAAGCTCCTCGGCCTACTTCGGAAGATATCTTTCCACTTCACAACCGTACGGACCGGTTTCGGCCACCGAGTCCTCCATTGCTCACGCCCAAACAGAGCGCTCAACGTTACCTTCGCGTCGCCCGCCTCGCACTCCTCTATCGACTCGGTCATCACCATCCGCTTATGACTCGTGTCAGGTTGAACGGTTCGCTAAAACCTACTGCTTTCCAGACATATGGAGGCTCGTCTCCTACTGGGAACATGCTTCAACGACCAAGACCAACTTCCTTAGCTGAGAAGACGAGACGAGGAGCGCAGCGCAGAAGCAAACTGTCCAACGAGGTTCGAGGCGACGATCAGGACAATAGCCTAGAGCTGAGTTTTGACGAGCTTCTTGTGAGCACTTGCTCAACTACACAGCTCGTCGAGGCGTACATCAAACAGGCAGAGAAGGAGGAAATGGAGCGGATGAAGGCACAGAGGAAAGAGGCGAAAAGGGCAAATGCACAGCTCGAAAAGGGGATTCGCAGTCTGAACGAGATACTTCATCAGTCTGCTGTTTTGACAGGTGAGATGGAGGAGGACATGATGTTCCCAATGGAGGTCGGGATAGCTATATAGGGCATGGCTTGATAAAGTAAGTGCTGGTGTCGGGTGGCTCTGCTTTCCCTTTTCGGTAAGTATTCAGAAGGGAACTAACCTGACAGATACTAAGTACCATATTGCCTAATTGAGACACAAACACGGTCTCCTACCGTTTTCAAGGCTCCCAGTGTGTAAACATCGTTTATTGCAACAGTTCTCTTCACCCGTTCAACATTCTCTTCGTATCCTTCTGGTCGAATTTCAATGCTGTTCTCAAGACCATCCTAAAGGAATTGTGCCACCCTTCCAAAATCATATCTTGCCGACAGGGCAAATTCCAAGTCCGCCAAGTCTTTACGAATCGCTGCAGCTGGACGGTGTGGAGTTACTACCATGCTCTCCTCTAGGGATTCAATTATAGTTTGAAATAGACTGGAGCGTAATTAGAGTATACTTGGAGCATAATTAGAATATATTTGAGCGGCGTTCAAGTGGCATTCGAGTGTGACAGAATAGTTGATTATACTGGAGTAGGCCTGATTACATTGAATGCTTGATGACACTCAAGTGCCATTCAAGTGTTTAGTAGTACTACTTTCTTCCACTAGTATTCGTCATGGACCTGTCCTTCGTCGTCGTGATAGAGTTCGTCATGGGGCCCATTGTAAAAAAGCCTATGGAGATGGTGGAGATGAGAAGTAAGGATCACTCCAGTATGCAACTTGCGTTCTATTGCTAACGTTGTATCATGCCCATTTACATATTCCGGCATCCAACAATACTGTATTACAATACTTTATAAATAAAAATACCAAGTATTTTTATATCAGTTAGCAGCGTGCCTCCCAGATGCCGGAGACCCTTCATATTTCAACCAACAGCAAAGAAGGGGGTTGAAGTTTCCTCATGACAGGACCTTTGCATTGTCCCGAACGCGTAACTGGTTCTCCCCTTGTCGAGGTTATTTCTTCTTTGCTGACGGTGGCAATGCCTTCTGCGCTTTAGTCGTTTGCTCCGCTGCTTGAAGTTCTTCCACGGACTTGCCAGCTTTTGTATCGGCTTCGCCGGTAGACTTATTCAGCGGTGTTACTGTAACTTCATCACGAAGCGTGTGCAGAATAGTTTCCAGTAGTTGAACCATACGATCCGCCTTGGAATCTCCGAGATCAATATGACGATGATGCGCGATGACTTCCTGGTGCATTGCAGGAGCTTTGATGACATGAGGCTCTGGCGCTGGCGTTGGGGAAGGTGATGGTGAACTGGATGGAGAAGTACCTTCGATAGTGACTACCTGTTCATCTCCATAAGCATCCCGGCCCTCGTGCGCATCTGCCGTATGATCCTCCTTAGGATCTTCCTCTGTTTTAAGAGCTAACTCGAAGCCATGGTCGATATGGCGATGATGTGTAATTGCCTCCTGATGTATTGTAGGAGCGTTGATGAATTCAGGTCCTGTAGCTGGTGGTGGAGGTCGTGGGACTGTAGTCGTGCTTGATCGAAAAGGCTTTTCAACGCGGACTTCCTCTACAAGTCCATCGTCTCGGTCATGATGCCCATCCCGCCGAATGACAGGTTCTCGTTCCCGACAAGTCCGAGCATCATCCTCGTAACGGCGTATGACAATCTCCTCCCGCAGGTAGGTCCGAATATTGCGCTGATCACGGGGAATGGCGATCTCCTCCCGGTCGACTTCCCGTTCCCGATGCACTGGATGCTCACGCTCATACTGTGGGATGATGATCTCCTCCGTTGATGCGTCCCCGCAACGTATTCGCATTTTCTTCTCTTGCTTTTCTCTGTGGGCCTGTATGACTTTGTCTGTAACTTCCCACGATACGTTAGAAGACCGGCACATCCGTCTCAGATCATTTTCCCATTTCAAGTCGCTCTCTCGAATAATGCGATCATCATGAATCTGCACTCGGGCGGGCTGTGGTTCTCCTCGCCCATCCCATCTAAATGATCGAGATAGTGACATATTGAGCCTGTTGAGGCCCAGACAATGGATGGATTGATATTATGTTGGGGACAGCGAGTGAATTAGAACGAGTGAAGTGCTGGCGTTTTGAGGATGTAGAGAGTCCTTCAGCTTTTCGCATTGTGCTGCAGTTAGAATGGATGGGTGGTTAGATAGAGATTCCAGCCCACAGCTAAGCCACTGAGGCTCATGCGGTGCTTACTACGTATGTTTTTAGCTTACCTGGCCAAACATCGGGTGCCCTTGCTGTGGGCCAATTCCCCGTGGGTCAACACCTCGTAGCCTCTATTTAGCCATGCTAGTTTACTTGTACGCTGCACCTGCTGGGGCGCCGCCTCGGGCCGAAGCCTGCACAACAACCGCTTCCGATCCATATAACCACCCGTCCGTTTCCCAGATCCCGTGCACATCCTATGCACATCTGGTCGCATTTATTTATAGCCTATCTCGTATCCTAACCATTGAAATCAGGACCGATACGCGAGGTAAACTTGCCAAATGCCAGTTATGCTCGAAATAATACCAAAACAAACGGTCAGTACCAAAACAAGGAATGCAACCCAGAATGTTGTCCATTGCACCCGATCTCTTCGGTCAAACCACCACTGCACAAGGCCTGAGGGCGTCTTGTGATCATACATCCGTTGAATTTCGGCGAGCTGTTCGTGCCAGTAGGGGTATTGTTGGAGATCAACATTTGGATATTCTCCCATAGCAAGCTCCAGGTCTGCGTCGAGGTGCTTCTCCATGTACCGAATGTTCCTGCGAGCCTTCTTCGAATCAAGTGGCCGAAACAGAAGATAGAGTGTCTGCAGTGTTTCACTGACGAAGCCATCAGGGAAAGGATCACTATCATCGGTCAGTCCGATGGTTAGCCTCATCAACCTAAATCAAACCTACCTATTAGGATCTTGCTGCAAGGCTCGAAGCATTGACGAATTCCTGAAAACATGCAAAGTTCGACCTTTGTGTGAAGTCAAATGCTTCTCAATCTCATCCGTCCAAACAATCCGAATTCCTCCTTTCCTCCAGAGGTGTTTGGCGCAGAAATCATTTGTCAGATGACCGGAGATCTTATTTGGGTCAGATCTTTCGGGCAAGCATGCTTTTATGACAAGACGAAATGAAGATGGTCCTCTGGTGGACAGGTCTGGTGAAGCGTGGAGCCAGAGCTTGGTCGCAAAACTTAGTGCCAGCTCGGCTTGCTGGTCAGACAGCTTCAGCGTTGACTTCGAAACAGAATCGTAGTGCGCGCAGATGGCATCTTTAATCTTTGAAATATCATCATCCAATCTGTGCTTGACCAATCCGACAAGGGCGATGACGGTACCACGATCTTGGAGCTGTAGAACTTCGTCATCGTCGGCGGCGTCGATAACGCAATTCTCCCAGTGTTTCATGTAAGGGTCGGGAGGCACTCCACGATGTGCTTTTTGGTAATCCCAATCGAGCTGCCAGACACCCATCATAACTCCCTGACAGACAACATTGGCGACATCTTGGTGGCACTCGAAGCGCCGGTTTCGTCGGCGACCAAATTGTTTCACCATGTTGGCTCTACGTGGATGATGCGTAGAATTCTAGAAAATAACCAGATGTTCATTCGAAGTTGGCTTTGTTATACTTAGAAATTACACTAGCAGGCTGCCACACAAGGTGAACTGAGGGGTGGTGGAGTGATTGCATGGGGCCGAAGATCAACATGCATGATTCTCTGGGACTACTACGGGGGCGCTTCGGGCCGAAGCTTGGCGCCAAAATTCTTTGCAGTTCTCAGATCCCCTTCCTCTCCCCCCCTTCTTCATTCCTCTATTTCTCTACCAATACTCACTCAAATTTAGGGAACAATGGATTCTGAACGAGGAATTAGACGCCGCGTCTGCAGAAAGTCTTATTCGATTGATCCTCCTTCTCCTGCAGCCCCACGAAGGAAAAAATCGATACTTGATACGCCGCGCCGAGCGCGCCTTCTTGCTGACGCACGCCACACAGCTGGCAAATTACCCCGTACAGAGCTATTTAAGATACATAATATAGCCAGTCGAACTGGCTATCAAATCCTTAAAGAAGGAACTGCGCGCCGCGGCGAGAAAGTCCATAATCGAGGCCGAAAACGAATACTTGCTCTGTACGAATGCGAAGCAATTGAGGCAGTAGAAGATGCCAATTTTGGCTTCGCTTCTTCTAGCCATTTCAAGGTCGCAAAGACTATTGGTATAGCTAATGGCTCTGAACGTGCTATCCAAAGAAATATGAAGGATTTTGGCGTAGGGACTTATATAGCCGCGCAGAAAAAAATGCTCTTACAAACGCATATGGATGCTCGAATTAGCATATTGATGCTCGAATTATATGGGGATTTGAACGTCGATATTGGCAATTAAAGCAATTTAAGAAGTTTCGATGGTGTGATGAGTCTCATTTCGCTACTTGCTTGCAACAACAGGCTCGAATTCATCGTTGACCAGGGTTTGAAGCATGAAATACTCTATCAAAGACTCAATTCAAGCTCAAACGTCAAAATCAATCAGTCCATGTGTACGCTATTATTAGATGGAATTTCAAGGGTCAGCTCCACTTCTATACTGGCTCTGGTATAGGGGGACGGCTTATTCAAGCTGATTATATGGTAATTCTTGAGCAAATCGTCGCTCCTAATTAGGATAAAAATTGCGTTTTGATTGAGGATAATGATGGGCCTCATGGTACCAAGGGCAAGGGTCATGTCAAAGCACTCAAGGCCCGTCTAGGGATCCAATGGGAAATGAATCCTGCTAATTCGCCAGATCTCAATCCAATTGAGACTATTTGGAGGATAATAAAGCAGCGCTTGAAGTCCAGGGGGGTTATCTTTGAAGAAGCTGTTCTGCGTCAAGCTATCCAAGAGGAGTGGGATAAAATAACTCTGGATGAGATTAATAGGGCTATCTCAACAATGCCAGATAGAGTAGCTGCCCTAAACGAGCGAAATGGGCGTCCTATCCCCTATTAAAGGGGCGTGTAGCATAGCAGGAATCTGAGAACTGCAAAGAATTTTGGCGCCAAGCTTCGGCCCTCTACTCCGACTCCCCAACCACCGGAATCCGCAGCTGGGTAGCCTCACGCAGCGCGTCTGCATCGGTCTGGTTACACGCAGCCTTCGCAACAATTCACTTCGTCGATTGGCACTTCGCCTTCCCCGCGCCCGCGCGGAACAGATGTTGTGGTGGATAGCGTGCGTCCTCGCCTCGGGGCGAGCTTGGTCTTCCCCGGCCTGCTGGAGGCGAAAAACTACCGCCCCAGCCGGAACCACACCTTCTACCTGGCCGGCTACAAGACCAGGTGGCCGTTGCGCCTGTTCTTCACCGTGCCAGCCTCGCTGCATCTGGTCGCACGCCTCTTGACTGTCACAGTGGCGATCTCGAGTTTACGTGCATTTCCGGTGAGCTCCTATGCTAGCGTGCAGTGGGCGGCGATCCTGCCTCATGTGTAGTAATATGTGCTCGAGTTTGTTAGGTAGAAGGATATTTGCTGGTGCTGGGATTCGAGGAAGACGAGATCGTAACTTTTATACCTCCAATGATGTATCTTATATGTACCATGGAGCGAACCAAGAGTGTAGAGCGGATCTACTGCCGATTTAGCGTTCATCAAAGTCCTGTCAAAGCCTCATTGTGTCTATTGAGGATTCCAATTCCCAAGAGCGGTCAGATCGAAAGCGCTTTTCAAGCCCCGCCGACTACCAGCAATGCCAATCGATTTATTGGTTTAAAAACGGACATTCTCCCCTCCCAGCCTCAGACAACCTCTGCTTCATCTCACCCATCTCCTTCAACCCTTTGCCGCTAAAGGCGCTAGGCCCAACCTCGCTCGAGAGGAACCCTTCCGGGCAGTACCTTTGCCCGTCGTCTCCAGGTAACGTCCCACCCTGGAACCAGAGGATCCAGGCCAACAGAGACCAGCGGTTCTTGAAAGTTGGTTTGACATACCAGGGGTGTACACGATATCTTCGCAGATGGAGCCTACCGGACGGAGTAGGTATGGGGGGGAGATTCTCACTGCGTATTCGGGGGAGGCTGAGATAGCGAAGGACGAATTTGCGGACGGATACGAAGATCTGGATCAGGCGGTAGTAGGTGGCAGGGGGTTTGTCAATTCTTTTGGATAATGGTTAGTTTTCAGCGCTGGGCAGAGATATTTTTGGTTACTTGTTTCTTGAGCCAAGTGGAAGAATGGGGCAAGAGGCTTACAGCATGGCTCCGCGAAGCTTATCCTCCAAAAGAGCAGCCACCAAGTTCTTACCCACGGCCTTCATGCTGACCGGCAGTGTCCACAACAAGCGGTCAATCGTCGAGTCCGCTAAACGCTTGTTGCTAGTTTAGGGTATCATATGGCCGCCTTCGTCGGCGCTACTCCACTCGCTAAGCTCGCGCAGCCACTCCAAGCCATTGCGCCACCCGCAACGAGATGAAGGGAGAGCATCGTAAGGGATCTCCATCGCCTCACCGATGCTTTTCCAAAGCACGCCGATCGCGCAGAGCTCCAGCTCCGTAATCTGGCGCCACTCCAATCGGCCGACCCACCTAGAAGGCTCAAGCGCAAAGAGACTTAGCGTGTAGAGCATGTCGGCATCCGAGATCCGGCCGCGTCGTCGGTAACCAGCGTGGATGTAATTGATGCGAGCTACGGCGGCGATGGCTCGATCCGAGGCGGGCGGGTTCAGAACCGCCTCCAGCAGAAGCGCTCCCGTATCTGCCATGCGTTTCGTTCCGGTCCGGCCGTCCGCTGGGATCTGACCCGTCGTGACGAGCAGGCTAGAGACTGAAGGAATGCCATAGGTCTGCCAAGGCATATACATGAGGTTTTGATTTTGAAAGCACTTGTTCATAACACAGAAAACGCGAACCGACCATGAACAGCGCAAACACGGTAGCGATAGAAACGACTGTGGGAAACTCGAGCTGGACGAGGTTGTTGTGGATGGCAAAAGCCTCATCGACTGTCATTCCCGAAAACGCATCTTTGGGGAGGTGACTGTAGCGCAGATACAAGCCTTTAGCACGACGGAACCGCAGCAGGGAAACCAGGCAGAGGTAGGCCAGGAGGCTCGGTCCGAGGAGTAGCTTCCACTGATTCGAGGCTGCTTGGATGAGGAAAGATGTCTTCTCCCAACCCAAAGTGAGATGCTGAAGAATGGTTGAATCCATGGCTGACCACCGGTAGGTTATTTGAGGGCTGGGAATATTGTCCTTCACAATGGTATCAATTGCGTCAGAACAACATTAGTGCAACGGCTCATGGCCATTGTTGACGGTGGATTCGGGAGAAGTTCTCGTACAAGGTGAGAGACTCAAAGTCACAGGATTCTACATGACGACCCAGCCAATGGTAAGTTGGCGCAGCTACTGCCTGCTGGAGAGGCCTGAAGAGATGTTAGTTCAGCGCTAGTATTTGCTCAAGACCGCTATGTCCAAAAAGAGGTAGTTTTACTAATTTGACTGGTCAGAATGATGTCCACAGAACATGCCTTGCAGTGATGATGCACAGCACTGTGTCCCCAGAATAAGAATTAGCCGCTACTAGCACCAGACTAACATTCCTTCCACCGGCAGCTTTGACGAATAACCCCGCGGACTCAACGTGAAACCAAGCAGGGCTGCAGGGATAAGATCTTGGATGATCCACCTATTTTGTTCCTGAATCCGGAGTATGAGGTAACACTACGTACTACTGGGTGGTGCTGAGACGTCTCCGCGAACTAGCATGGGCAAGCATTTCATAATCATTGGCCTCTCTAACATAATGACCTGAGCTTAGCAGCCATGAGTCATGAGAGACGCACAGTTGGATTTTAAATATTCATACACACCAGGAACACAGGTAAGGCTTGCTTCTGTATACCAAGCTCCCACTAGAGATGTCGACGAGGCTCTCATGCCATTGCCACGGTGCCATCTCATGCGTTTCGTAAGGAACGAGGCTCTCTTGACAGCACCTCTACGAAGTGAGTACGTAGTAAGCACCAGTCACCTTGCAATGGGAGTAGCCTATTTACACGGGAATCAGAAAATGGCGACTTAGCAGAGGTTTTCACTCCCGGGGGCGTGGGGAGGGAAATGGTTGGTTACTCGAACAGAATGTCCTAATCATGGGCAGTGTTATGGACAGTTAAGCGAAGCACCTTAGTACTACGGTAGGAGGCATATTAAATGTAACCCTCCTCACTAGTAAAATTGTTATTAACGACCTTCATACAGATACTCTTGGTGCGCTTGTACGAATGAATGACGTACAACTTTAGGGGGTCATTCACCGCGTTTGATGTATTGAGCTTCCCCTACTAATTATACCTCATTATACAACTACTCTAATCAATTCTAGTAAGATGCTAGGTAGTTATATATGTTAATAGGATGCACACTTGATGTAAGATAGATAGTAGATTAGTCCTAATCGAGCGATTTCGTGGCGTTCTATCTTGGCGTTACAAGCTGTTACTAGAGCAGGGGTTACATTTAATATGCCTCCTACCGTAGTAAATAACGCTGCAACCTAGTAATGATGCACTCCCTTCCGAACGCCTTTCGCGCACTATGTTCACATTATTGTGCATTGCACCATTGAGCGCCTGCAGCACTCCTCATTCTGTACGTACAATGTCGTCGATCATTGACAAGGCGGCAGAGTAGGCTTTTTCGAACCCTACGACCTTGATTCGCCATACAGCGCTGTCTCGTAGGCTGAATGGGGGCCTCACGCGCCGGGAGGGCCGTTCTAGCCCAACAAGAACTTTCGCCAGTGCAGGAGGAGAAATGCTTGTTAAAAGGATTTTGGAGCCCGAACGCTTAGGGTACGCTCCTATGCATCAACGAATACGCGTAAGCTTCAAATAGGCTTGTTTCGGAGCTGTCAAACGCGATTCCTGCGCGTAACCCCTGCGTTTTGCTTGCTTTTGATTAGTCGATTTCTGCCACATTTTGTACTTCTGCGCCTTTTTGAGAGAAAACAGAGCCATTTTCTTCTACCTGTTTGACAGGAGCATACCGAGCCTTACTACGTAGAGGGGTGTCAGACTATATAAGCGCCTATTGGCCAGTACTTTTACGAGTAGATCTGCGTTCTGCCTGCTTTTGATTGGTCAATTTCTCCTGCAATTTCGCAGCTAATTTCGCTGTACAGTACAGCCAATTTGTACGTGTATCTACGCACGCTGCCCCCTTAATTAGATAGAACAACTTGCTTTCTACGGACCTCCTGTAGATTGTCACATTTTTATTATCACAAGTAAAAAAGTAAACAAGTACATTTTATTTTTGTAATTCTTATGAGTTTTATTCCCCTTGCTCTTTATCCAGGAATGCCTCAATCTCCTGTTGCTGTCGATAGATGATATTCATCGTTTCATCGGTATCGTAAAGATCGTACCAACCCGGACTTTCATGAGGTGGATCACCCGCCCAGACTATGCCAAACTGATCCGCCTGCTGAGTCTCCGGCCGATATACGCCGCCATAAGCCCATGGACAGGTCCCCACGTAGGCGGCTTGGGGATCTTTGAACATGGCCACGGCAGCGCCGATGATGGTCTGGAAATATCCGTCCTTGTTGCTGGTGCTGGCCGAGCTGAGGTACTGGTACTCCTTGCCTTCGTTCTCCCAGTTGTTCCGGGCCATCCCGAACTCCTCGAGGAAGATTGGCTTGCCGATCTCAACGGCCCAGTCGGACGTGTTGGCGACGAAGTCCCTGGCGAAAATCTTGGCCTTTTCGATGTTGCTGATCGACGAGTTGAGCATGTCGTAGATCCCCCAGTTTTGGACCCAGCAGTGCGAGGTGCCATAGTCGATGGTAGAGAAGTTGTGGACGGCCTGCCAGTACCACTTTCCTTGTTTGCCCTCGAAGCCAACGCTGACGAGCTGCTTCGGAGCTAGGCTTTTGATGTACTCCGAGGTCTCTCTCACCCACGGGATCAGAGGGTCTTCTGGCGCGGGTGGGAGTTCAAGCCCGTAAGGGCCGAGGAATTCTTCTGGAACAATAGCTGCCTGAGGCTCATTTGCCAGTTGCCATGCCATGATGGTAGCATCCTCGTTATATTTCCGGCCATTGACACTGTTTACGCGGTTGACCACAGCGTCAATGTGGTCACGATACCACGCCTGGGCTTGAGTATCAGTATAGAAGCGGTTGGCGAAGTCGGTATAATTTGACCAAGGGGCGGCATCAACGCCGATCACGGTGTAATTGCCCCAACCGGTGCTAGGGTTTGAACGTTGAGGTGGTGCAGACAGATTCCACGAAGGCGGGTAAGGAATTTCAGCATCATGGTTGGCCCAGGATACGTATTGGCCGAAACCGCCAGACCATTGCCATTCGTTGTTGAGGGTCATGGTCTAAAGTTTCAGGATAGTGAGCACGCTTTCCAAAAGAGCCCTCGGAAAAATTTCAAGAATCTACTAAGGGCATAGGACTAGAAAAATCTCACTGCTCGCATTCCCCTCTTTTCCATCTCAGCCAAACAAGTATCTAGTCCAACAAAGATCTCTTCATTATACTGGCCTGGGGCTGGCATCAAAGGTGGATTCATGCGGAAAGGCTGAGGGGTCGAGGCTCCCTCAGACGAGGCCATGACGCGCAAATGGTTGACGCCTTTGGCGGCCATCTGGTCAAGCTCCGTGACAAGTCGCGAGTAATTACCACCGACAGAGTCATCAGCAGCGAGGTTCATGCACGCCCAATAGTTGAGGCCGGTGATATAATGGACGCCAACGCCATCATACAGACGAAGGTTGTCGGCATAGACGAAGTCATTTGCGTCAATTCCCCCGTTCTTATATGAGGAGTTGGCTTGAGACGGTCGAGCTGTGCTAGCTGGGGAAAAAGCAAGAGCAAGAGCAAGCAGAATAGCAAGGCAAATGGAAGTCATTTTGCGTGTGCTGCTATCTATCTTAAAGAAGATAGTGGTATGCTATTATCAACACACAGCAGAGCGAGCATCATTGGAGTTGCCCAGATAAATACTACGATATCAAGCGGAATTTTTGTGCCCCCCCGGTCATAATTCCTTACTAACGGCCTCTTTACATACACATCCTTGTCAGCATCCCTGTCGCTATTCTGCACGCTCATCCTGCTCATCCTGCACATTTTGCGCATCCTGCGAATTCTACGAGTTCTGCACATTCCACGAGCTACAAATAGCTGATAAAGCTGCGTGGATGCTGTACCTTCTGATTATCTTAAGGAGCTGCTTCAGTCGATGCAGACAAAATGCCAAGCAGTTATAGATGCCAATTGGATGCAACTCTATTTGAGAGGCTATTTGGGCCATTTCGTGGGCGTCTATACTCAATTCTGTGCAGTGAGTTGTTTGCGAATACTAGCGTTTTCACCAGGGAGGGTTACAGAAATTCCTCCTGATACCGTAGTACTTATCATGATTGATGTCTGCAACCGTAATCATAACGACATTGGGTTCCGTACTCATACTAATGACTACGACAAGAGATGCGATATCGTCCCGCTCGAATTGTGGGGAATTTTGGAAGGAGCAACTGCACGACATTCAGGGCTTGCATTAGCCATCTTGGCCGCATTAGCCATCTTGGCCGCATTAGCCATCTTGGCCGCATTAGCCATCTTGGCTTGCATTACAAAGTACTACCGGATACCGTCGCCCAGATGAGAGGAATAATACATCTACCGCTCCACCAAAGGACACCACTTTTAGGTTTCGAACCTAACTAGTAGATGTATTTTTCATAGCAGACTACATGTAGAGGGGAATTACTCTCGCATGAACTCATCTTGTTGGAGGTTCTTTTATCATTATCGAAGCCCCCAGTCTACAGGGATTTGGTAATAGGAAACTGGGGATAGTCGAACTTGCTTGATTTCCAATCTTCCGGGGGATCGGAGGCAACTAATTATCATCGTGATGAACAGTGGTCAAAAACTCTCCAGAATCCTTCTTCTGCTGTTGCGTCAGTCACTGCGACGGGCAGTAGCGGGCCGCAAAGCGGTGCTTTCGTCACGTGACTGCTCACAGGTAACTACTCAGTTGAATGCCTGATGGCCCCAAGGACTTTGCATGTTCTTCCAAAAATACTAACATGGGAATAATCTGTTGACTTTGAGCCTGTCTGTAAGCGTGACATCCGACGGGCCGAAACTAGCTTTATTTTGGCGCTCAAAGCACTAATGGCGTAAAGTGATCAATTGGGTAGGTATGTAGATAACTAGCTAGAAAATCTAAGTACAAAGTCCGTATGGAATAGCTCTGCATGTCGATGTAAAATAGTAATCCTGAAACCATACTAGTACGGTACGTAGTAGTTACTTGGCGCTGCCGGAAAGAGCGTTCTAGCCCAGTTTTAAGGCCATCGACTATTCTTAGAATCGTACTCCGTAATTCTTGCAAAGGATTTATTGGCCAAAACTCTTCAATCTCTATCCTCTAAAGTCATTCCTGCCTCTACGCTTGACAATGAGAGCCAGCTTGTCTTAGTAGTCATCGATAAGACGTTAAGCATATAATTTGAGGCCCTTGTTATGTGACTGAAAACAGTAGGTTCGTCCATACAAGTTTATGTGTTACTACTTCGCTGACAAGTGATTTCTCTACAATGTCTTTGTCTATTCCATGGAATGTCCGAGGAGAGCGATAGAGCCATTCAACCTCGTCCCCAAAACAAAGCACAATAACCCAGTTACAGCCCTCACTTCTGGGGGTTTGCGATAAATCACAGCTGCAGGGTACATTTCGAAGTCGCTCGGCCAGCCGAAGAACGGCCAGCAGATGAATCCGACATGTTGAAAAACGCACATGATGCAGAATGGATGGCATTCTGTGAAGGTAACTTTGGAGTTGTTTGGTAGGTCGAAAGATATTTCCTTGGATATGGAGGGCCTAGCGGCACCTCTTCTAAGAGCTAAAAGGAAAGCTTTTGTGTAACAATCTCTCTAGCTACAGGGGGGAGCGTGCGTACGTAGTAGATATACGTACAAATCGGCTATACTGCACAGCGGAAATGCAGGAGAAATAGACTAATCAAACGCAGGCGAAACGCAGGTGCTTCGCGTAGAAATTCTAACCAATCAGCGCTCATACAGTTCGACGGCTTTTATTGTTCAAAGAGGGACTCTCTGAAAGCATGTCTTCGAAAAATCAACGAACGTGCTGCAGCAAGTATTTGTTAAGGTGGTAAGTGCCAGCAGCAGTCCGCACGGCAGATGTCTAGGATGATGGGCATTCGGGCACAATACGACCAGGACATTAATCTTGAATCTCGACATCCTTAAGAAAGGTCGCAGCCCAGAGCAGACGCGATCAAGCCGTGGGCGTCGAAATTACTAGAGCTTCAAAGGCCATCGCCCCGAAAGCAGAAGACGGCTCGTCGATGAAGACCATTGCAAAAGTAACCATTGCCGTTTCTGTCAGGCACGTTCGTGGCGTCTTGTTTCGCCGTGCCTTTGTTTAATTAAGATGAGCGTAGTGGCGGTGGAATGATCATTCCGCAGATATGGGTCTACTGGGCCATCGTCATTCCTTTGACGGTTCTCACCTTTGATGTCCATTGGGCATGGTTTCACTGTCATAACAAACGAGATTCAGCTGCAAATGCTGGGGTTCTTGAGGATATCCATCTTTTTGGCAGAAAATGACGGTAATTGCCATAGCTCGAATTTCCGGGCCAAGTCACCAATGGCCTGGACCAGCTCAACCTTAATGCTTTTAAAGTTTCGTTTGTGGCGTGCAAGGCGTCTGTGGCTATTATGCATCAATCATGGAATTACCGTCATTTTATGGCAGAAAGATGGATAACGGTTGGGAAGGGTGAACATCAGCAAACGCAGTCAGCACGAGGCCAATCAGCTTGATCTCCATTGAAATTTACGATGCCCTTTGAAAAACGTTAGGCACACAAATTCTTAGGCTTAGTGGCGTGATGTACTTGACTTGTTACAGTGTGTGGCAAGAGATAGCATGATTTCCGGAGAAGGTGGGCGGGGTGTAAAGGAGAAGGATCATAAGCGCTGGTAGATGTAACACACCTCAGTCTGACAAGGGAAGAGAGAAATACAGGAATTGCTATCAATTCTGCTGCCTATGACAATCGGCTTTAGCTGATATAAGAGGAGGATTCCACATTTACTGCGACCTCTTCTTCCTAGCTTCATCCTTCCCCTGGTGCCTGATCGTGCGACCGATATGATATGATATGATACGATACGATACCTGGCCCACAAAAGATCGGTACAGCATTAGTATTTGAGATGGAAATACTAGCGCCGGACTAACAATAATCATGCCTCCTATCCGTTCTCCGGAATTTACTTTGTCCCGAGGCGGAAACTTTCTGTTCTTATCCGCCTTGTGCGCCTTCAGCCATGTTCGACACAGAAATGAATCTGCGCTCGAAGTCAAGAGCTGAGAGGCAATGGCCGGCGTTCAGCAGAAACACGCGTGCACTCGGTGTCGGGTAGCGAAGCTTCGGTGTTTACGCGATACCCTTCAGGACCACGGGAAGTGTAGGCGCTGTCACGAGGCTAATGTAGAGTGCATCTTCGATTCGATAGCTCCGCGGCAGCGGCGAAAACGTACGGACACCAGAGTTGCGGTGCTTGAGAAGCAAATTGAGGACATGAAAGCCGCAATTGACAACAATCGCTCAACCCAGAGCACAAACTTTGGCAATGAGAGAGCTATATGCCATGAGCATGGTTTCGACGATCATACACGGGACAAAAGATATGGTTACGACCGATCGTCTGAACGACAATCTGGGCCGTCCCAGAATACAACTGGAGCTTGTTTCTCTGAAACAGGGGAGAGAACGACACCCGAAGATGAACATTTAGGCCCCAACGACGAGACAATTCCAGGTCTCGTTAGTTCGAGCTTGCTTCCTGTTGATGTTGCTGTCAACTTGCTGGCAGACTTTGTCTGTCATGTGCTACCGGAGTATCCGATATTAGCGATTACTGATCGCGAAGATTTCAGTTTTCTCCGGAAAGCTAAACCCAGGTTGTTATTGGCTATGATCACGGCGGCAAGTAGGGCCTCAGATCCATTCTTATTTGCCAAGCTTCATCCGCGTCTGATCGGAACTCTAGCGGAAGAAATAGTTGTATGCGGTCACAGAAGCCTGGAGCTTGTCCAGGCGCTTCTGATCATGGAGGTGTGGTATGATCCGCCAGACGACATGAGACGTCTGAATTTCTATCTATGGATTCAAATAGCTGGCACCATGATTCGCCAACTGGGACTGTGGCCAGCGAGCGGCATATCATCACCTGCGAGGACATATGTGCCAACAGAGCCGGATGATCGCCCAATGATGGAATTGCGGACTGCCTTTGCAGTGTACTTGTCTATGTCGAAGTAAGGAGTCCGCCCTCAACGAGACACCCAGAAGCTGATCCCTGAATAGCGTTGCTATTAGCTTGCGTCGACCAATGACCATGACCTTGACAAAAGGAGCGCTAGAATGCCTGGAGCTGTTTGAACAGAGTAGTATGTGTATCAACGACAAGCGTCTTGTCGCATGGATCAGACTGCAGGCAATAGCGGAAGATGTTGAGGCTTTGCGAGTCAAGCTGTTAAAGTGCAATGAGGAGCCTACATTCTCTAATTCAAACTCTGTGCACCAAGACCTCGTGCAACAACTGGAGGATAGATTTGGTTCGTGGAGGTATGCTGCACAGGCGGTAATGAACTGTAAGCAGAATCAGATTCATTGCATAAAGAGGCACTCAATTTCTCCCACAGTCTCATTGCGTATACATTTTTTTCATTGCCGAAACAAGCTTTACGAGCTTGCAATATCGGTAAACCAAAATCCAGGCACGTCGCTGACTACCTTAAGTCTTCAAAATGAAACCCTACCACTCACGCACAAGAACAAGGCTACGGTTGATCCTGGTTATATCAGGGTTGTAATGTCACTCATTCAGTCAAGTCATAGCGTTCTCGATGCACTGCTCCAGATCGAACCTTCCACCTACCTTAAGTGTCCTACAGTCACCACAATCAGAGCTCTTTACGCCCTTCAAGAAATCGGGACCCTTTGGAGCTCTGTCAATTGTCAACAGACACATCTCTTGGGACTTATTACTGAAGAAGTCCTCTCACTTAAACTTTATGCACGACAGATGAAAGACTTTTTTGAGGCAATGTCGGGGCCTGAAGGCTACCAGATTCCAAATATGGCATTGAATGTGCTCTCCAACATCACCAATCACGTCTTGCTGCCCGAGAGAACAAATCAACGACAAACGCGACAAATTCCTGTCCCGCAGCAATCTCGCGGCATCATAAAGGAGGCTAGCGGCGCCCCTAACAACGATCTCGAGGTCATATTAACGACCGGCATGACTGACTCAGAGCCATCCAAAAGAAGCTTGTCGCCAGTTGAAGTGCAGAATGCAGACTCGCCGATCTCAGATAGAGCCACAAGAAACGTGACGCCCTCGGGAACTTCTCCCGCTATCCACGATGGCTCGAATGACACGAACAATGAAGCATCAATTCTCTCCGAGTTCGACCTGATGGTGATGCCTGACGCTGCAATTGACCCAAATTGGTTGTTCTCCAGTGAGGATTACGACTTTGGACAATACAGATTCGGGTAGCAGTCCGCATGATTGTGTCTCTGTTGTGGGTGAGTTGTCACCGAACGGAACGCAGGGACTTCCTTAAAGCGCCGAGCTCGAGGTGGCACATAGTTTCTCCGTTAGTAGTTTGCCCTAGCCTTGATGCTGCCCTGGGTTTCGCCCTGATTTGCAGAGGTGCGATGAGCTACACTAATCGGGAAACAAAATGATCGATTCTCTATTCATCGAGTCAAGTTGCAGTAATATAATGGTCAATATACTCCCAATATGAATATGACTAATACTCGTCTTCGTTTATTTCGCTTCGGAGCTCTTTGCTTACGGCTCATATTTTATCTCCTTGCCGGGTCAATCGAGAAACATCTGTCGCCTCACCATACTTTATTTGCGAACTAAAAGGTATAGCCGGAAAACAGTGACTTGAATGCAGGGCCCACAAAAGGGCTTAGATACACGGACTTTTAAAACTTTCTCTCTCTCTGGCCAGAAATGTCCCATAGACTGACTCAAAATCGCCATGACGATAAATGATACAACTGTGGAAAGTCAAATACATTTGGGCAGTGAAACTTGACTCTGTTGAACCCTCCCCGTCATTCCGTTTTCACATTTCCAGAATAATACTCTGGATAAGATGCCTTATACCCGAGCAGAAACTCTCCAACAAATCCAACGACAAACATGAGAATCGTACTCACTACCAGGTTCAACCACTCGGGACCGGGAACCTGCACCGCCAACGGCATCCAGTTATGCATGCAAAAGACCATCATCTGAAAGATCGAAGGCTGCATCCCTGCCTTCCGGCAATCTCCCATATAACTGAAGGTATTCCTGAAGAAACATTCCTCCATCTCCGCGTGTTCTCGGTCAAATCGGATCAGAACCCTCAGCGGTACATCTGAATCGGGCGCGCTCTCGAAACAATGCCATCTCAAAGCAGGGACCACGATTTCGTCTCCCTTTCCCAGATGGACTGTCTTTCCGCCCCACAGGCGCCAGATGCCGGCCCCGGACTCGACTTTGAAATGCTCATCTTGGAAGAGGTGATAGTGGGCAGGCGGGTTGAAGAGGCTCGGTCCGCCATCTCGTCGATCGCGATGGTTGTGCGGAAAGACTTGCTTGGAGAAGAAAGCGCCGGGCGGTGTCGGTGTGTAGAACTCAGTGGCAAAGGACCGGTCCAGCGAGTCAGCCAGAATGCACGGATTTTGGTGTTTTGTTGTCGTACGTGGTGGCGAGCGGCTGCGGAGGAAGGCGAGTGGAGCGAAAAACATCGTTGACTCGGGATCTATAGACGTGAAAAAGGCGGAGTGGGTCTGGGCAAGGAGACTTTTTAAGGAAGTTATTTGGTTCTTTAGAAAAGGAGGTGGGTGTTAGGAGATATATAGAAGTATGTGTTACGGCACAGTCGTCATTGCCTAGCCAGTAGCATGTGTAACCAGCTTGGCACTAGTGGATAGTTCTTCTCAGTAGATATCCTTGAGAGAACCTACACACACTTGCCACTGATCATAAACGACCCTCTATTGTGCTTCCGCCACAATATGGCTGTTCCTAAAGGGTTTGAATCGTATGTGTGTGGCAATGCGATATTATTGATTATTAAAGGGATATGGTTCGTAAAGCGCGAGGATGCTCCGATCCGGCATACTTTTTTCGATACATCGCGGTAAGAGGTGGACCTGGTCGAAGTAGAGCGCGAATTTTGAATACTTCGGTCGCAAGACGCTCCGAGGACAACAAGCTCAGGCCGAATCAGCGCAATCGGTTGTGTTTGACCCGAGAATCCAGTTGTGGCATCCCTAAAGACGCGACGATGAGGGGCTTCAGGCTCAGTCGGCGAATGTTCCCACTACATTATCAAAGTGGAGACATGAGCTCACGTGTGAATTATGTGATTCACGTGCTGCTCGTCCGTGTTCACCATCAGACTAATGCCCAGGAGACTGAAATGGCCACTTTTCCGAACGTTGGAAAAGGGTCGTTTGAGATCTGATCTTACACATCTGCTCCCAACATTTAGTTTTCGAGTCCATTGTTTTCAGGCAACAGTTGATTCGGGTCACGAATGTATTCCTGCTCCGTAGAGGAGACAAGTAAGCTGGATATGGCATTTTGTAGACGGAAAGATGCTTGCTTTGGTTAATCATGTATGCTTCGTCGATATTCGCTAGCCTGGACCCCTGACGCCAAGCACTGACGCTAACTTAGCCTAGTTAGAACCGGGGATACTCCGAGCCGAGTTTCAAATGCCGCATGCACAACAATCGCATGAAGTCAGAGTAATACACTTGGAAGAATACAACAATGGTCTGGACCTTTGCGTTTAGGGTGGTCTCTGGAGTTGGCGGTCTAAGTCCAGCCAATAGGTGGGTTACAATGAACAAACCTGTTACTCTCCGAGCTTTGGGCTTGCCGGACACATCTATGACCCGAAATCCTGTGAAGGGTGAAGTTTCCTAGGCGAAGACATATGTCCTCATGTCTTGGCTGAAAAAGTTGAGCCCGACTGGCAGCGTCATCAGTGCCTTGGATGAACATTTAATAGTCCCTGCGCAAGCCATGAAGGCTTGGAAGAGCAGAGCTCAATGAAATATTTTCAAGCAGGATGATTTCTTCACAGACAGCCCCATTCAAGGTCGTCATTTGCGGTGCCGGCATTGCTGGGCTCTGCGCGGGCATCGGGCTGGCTAAGCAGGGCCATAGCGTGACTATCCTGGAGAGCGCGCAAGAGCTGGCTGCTGTCGGCATCGGCATTCACATCCCTCCGAATGCGACATTGGTGCTGAGGCACTTCGGAATCCTTGAGAAGTTCTCAGAGGATGCCATCCATCCTACGAGTTTCGTTTTCCGGCGGTGGGCTGACGGCTCGGTCATTGGCAAAGTTCCCGTTCGGCGCCCAGCTCAGGACGATTCTGCGCCGTAAGTATGGCGGTTCCTGGCATTCATTAGCTAAACCTTGAAGGTACTGGAGCATAAGGAGGTCTGACTATCAGCGCCATCTTTATGAAGCCGCGGTCGAAGCTGGTTGCCAGGTCCGCTTGGGCGCCCGCGTAGAGGCATTGAACGAAGATATTCCGTCGGTGGCTTTGACCGGTGGAGAAATCCTCCATGCCCACTTGATCGTCGTGGCCAATGGTGAGATGGTTACAAACGTTCCCATTCCGATGCTAACATTTCCAGGAATCAAGTCAAAGCTACGTGATTTCGTGATTCCCGAGGAGGACGTCTCCATGGTTATCAACCCGTTATCTTCATATCGTGCATACCTGGACAAAGCTGATCTGCTCTCCGACCCAATCACGGCGCCAGTTTTCCAAGAGACTGCCACAAACGTGTGGGCCGGATACGGTCGCCACGTCATCGTCTACCCATGTGGAGGCAACGTGTTCACGCTCGGTGCCACACATCCTGCAAAGGAACTCGAAGCCATGGAGTGGAACCGCTCTGCAAACCCAGAACAAGCTCAAGAAGAGTACCGTGACTGGAATCCTGTGGTAAGTCGAGTCCTATTTCATGCCAAGGACGTCAAGATATGGAGGCTGGCCGAGGTCCCGCGCCTGCCGAGGTGGACAAGCAAGTCCGGCAAGGTAGTGCTTATGGGTGACACAGCACATGGCATGGTTCAATTCCTGGCTCAGGGTGCAGCCATGGCAACCGAGGACGCAGCAGCACTTGCGGAATGCGTGGATAGGGCAAAGTCGTCCAGCCACATACCGGCGGTCCTTCGAGCTTATGAACGAAGTCGAAAGTGGAGATGTGAGATCGTTCAAGCTCAGTCCAGACGCAACGGAGACATGCTGCACATGCCAGACGGAGAGGAACAAGAGAACAGAGACAGGAAGATGGCAGGGCTGGCGCAGAGTGGAATGTGGGAAGCCGACACCGGTCCGATGATAGATGCGGACTTTCGAAAGTTCCTATATGGACACAATGTCGTCCAGCACGTATGTCCATTTCCCCCAAGACTTGAACGAACACTGACTTCTTTCAGACAAGGAAAATCCTGGATTTGCTGAAGCTCTGAAATGTGATTGTAGAGATTTCTGATAAGGGGGTTCTCATTCCACTAAATTGCTGAGTGGGAGCGCTAATTAGCACCGAGGGGGCCAATGCGATCAGCATTACGGCAGTAGCTCACTGAGGTTTCGTCGGGACGATCGAGCCGGGGAAGTGTTTAGGACGGCATTTAAAACAATAGATCTATACCGGCCAGTCCTACTATTCTGTCAACTTGTCCTAGCTATGCTTTGACCCGTAGAAGGGGGTTGGTGATCTCTGTTTTTATTAGTATTCCCCTAAAGACTATAAGACAACAGCCCTGACTCTTTCAGTATCCTGCACCGCATCTTAACCGCGCCTTGGCACCCAGTTGGGTTAGTCGTTTCTGTTGCCTGACTCAGGAATTAGTCACCCGGCTTAACTTCGGCTCAGCCTCTGCTCAGGCTTCACCACCACTGCTCCTGCTACTCACCCTCTTGCTCACCTTCTGTCCTAGTGCTGCTTAAGGGACTTAGTCTGGCTTTACTTATACTTAGTCCTGCTTTTGAATTCTTACTATTATTAGTAATATATCTTGCTTATAATTATTATCCACATGATAGTTTGTTCAACTGAGTGAGCATGTAGCCGAGTCAATAGAAAAATACCTTCGTGAGTCCACTTCAAGATCCGCCTCGCTCGTTCACCCTGCCGTCAGAGTTTAAGCCTCGAGCGGTCAGGAACGCGTGGGGTTGCGTGACTGAACTACTAGACAAAATGTCTTACTGCTCCGGCCTGGTTTCCATGAGTAAAAGTCTCAAACCTGAACGGTTTAATTGGTTAGAAGTTTAGAAAGGACAAGCTGCCGGAATCACACTTCCGTCACCCAATCATTTTCATAGAGCCGCAGTTCCAACCGACTGTTTACACTCACCGACATCACAGGAGAATTTCCAGTGTCATTGCGGTGCCTGCCTGCCTTGATCTGACCTACTGCTCCAAGAGGGATCATGGAGAACTGGACTGTCGGAATGCCGACCCCATCCAGGAAGACTGGTCAAGTTTCGCTTTCTCAAGCGACCGTTAGCATCCGCATAACGTGCGATCGGTTAGTTACTTGGCGCTTTCCATCGTCGATAATTACGGGCCACATTGACTGAAAGGACTGTGAATAGAGCGTTCGGTAATAATTTCACTTACGACATACTAACCATATTTATGCCTGCAACCGTGGTACCTCTATCAGTCTCTTCCATTTGTCTTGCGTCTCGGTCGGTCGGTCAGCTGTGCTGGCACCAATGGGGGTCTTGCGACCTGTCGTGTCTCCTACAGCCCACGCTCATACCTGAACGCTCCGTGCGGAGGGACTTCAAGCACAGGGAAGATCACCTCTTCTGGCCCCAAGCTGTGGTTCGGACTGAGGAGATGGTGTCGAATCACAAGATAGCAAGGAGTAGGGATGACGATTAAGTATAGCGGACTGAGTTAGGGCCGGAGCTAGGTGACGGAAATAATGAGACTTCCGTCCCACACCACTCTATTACTTCTATATTCAAAATGGTATAGGAAGACCATTTCGCTCATTTACGGCAGCTACTCTTTTGGGCATCGTAGAAATTGCCTTATTAATCTCCTCCAGAGTGATTTTATCCCATTCCTCCTCAATTGCTCGCCGCAGCTCCTCCGGATCAGTAATAAGGCCTCGATTCTTCAGTCTCTGCTTCAACAACCTCCAGATGCTCTCTATAGGGTTCAAATCAGGCGATTCTGGGCAATTAGCTTCCCATTGGATCCCTAAACGAGCTTTGGCTTTTTTGACTTTGTTGTCTGCCTTGCCACGAGTGCCATGAGCATTATCGTTATCCTCTAGAAGTATCCAATCCTTATCCCAATTAAGAGCGATAACTTCTTCTAAAAAAACGAGATAATCAGCTTGAGTAAGCCGTCCACCTCCTCCTGCGCCTGTGTAGAAGTGTAGGAGACTCTTGTAATTCCATCCAATATACGCAAATACATGCCAAATTTGATTGCGCCGTTTCAATCGAAATTGGATCTTTGAAGAAGCATTTCGTGCTTCTGTGCCACGGCGACGATGTACTATAGCTTGTCGTTGCAAGCCACATGCAAAATGGCACTTATCGCTGTATTTTTACTGCTTGAATTTCTCTAAATTCCAATGCCGACGTTCAAATCCCCATATTTGGCGTATCTCAATATGAGGCAGATGCAGCACGAAATAAGCTATCTTCAACTGTCTTAATAGCCTCGCAATAATGAGGCTCTAAAACAGGTTTTCGACCGCGATTGTGGACGTTATTGCTGCGGCGCGTAGATTGTGATTTGAGGATTCGATAGCCTGTTGCTTTTGGTATACCGAGTGATTCAAATAGCTTTTTTCGAGGTAATTTGCCAGCTGTAGCCTGCGCGGCGCAAAGAAGTCGCGTACGCCGTGGAGTATCGACTATTATATGTAGCCTGCGTGGAGGCTCTGTGGGTATCGAAATTGACGAATCAGGCTGTTGACAGTTTTTTCGAGTAGTTTTGCGAATTCTGGCCATTTTTTAGCTGATTTGAACAACAATTGGTGGAATAATAGAAGATAAAAAAAAGGGGTTGTTTTGAGGATGGGACGGAAGTCTCATTATTTCCGTCACCTAGCTCCGGGCCGTACTACGGGGGGATGCCTGAAGTATTGTTAGTTAGTAGTTCAGCACTAGTATCGTTGCTTGTAAGGATCTATGCACAAAAGAAGTTAGACACAAACATTCGACTTATCAGAGTACAACGAATCATAACATTGCATATTTGTAAGAAGGACTCCGTAGTAGCTGCTCCTAACCTAGCATCAGACCAACAATACTTCAGGTCCCCCCTGTAGTACGTAGTACAGGTCTAGGCCTTAACTTCGAGGAAGAGGAGGCATGAGAGCCAACCTCAACGAGGCTATAGCGCCACAGGGACACGTATGCCGCCGGGGCTAAAGAGGCGGCCCGGGGCCGCAGGAGCCATTTACTTAATGTAGTATCCTGGTAGGTAGCTAAACTAATATGGATCGGAAACCTGTCCTCGTTTCACATGAATAAGTGTTGTTGAACCAAATGCTGCGGCCATAATTGGCCGCTAATGCGCTATTTGTCTCACAACTATCTCAATAATTACCTGTTCTGGTGTTGAAGCTATTATCATTAGTTCACCAATTCATGCTACAGCATCCGCCTTCCCAATGGTTTGCGACTACCTAGGGTGTCGGAGTATTGGTGCTACTTGCTAGAATGGTACTTTGTTTAATGTAAGTGCTACGAGGAGACCCGGATGGCTTTTGCTCGCCCCCACTATACCATTCCTCGATACGGAACACTCTGCATTAGTTATCTTATTTGAAGTCGCTCTCTGTCCACTGAAGCCTCTACATCTATAGCGGAGCCTTGGTGGCGCGAAGAATGTTTCTCCCTTGTCCACGTCTCGTGAGCATTCTATTCGTCTTTTCGTTTCTCGTCACAATCATCCTGCTCGTGTTGAAGTTCCAGCCTTGTTGGGCATGAAGTTTCGGCTTCAACTTTCTGTCCTCTAGCATGGTTGTCTTTATGCAATGCATTTGTGGAGGGTTTGTCGGTCTAGTTCTGGAACATGCCGCCTCCGCCATCTTCATCACGGCCTAAGACATTTACAGACTTGGGGGTTGGGTGTGAATGAAGTCAAAATATATGCCCTGCCCGTTTTAAGTGGGTATAAATTGACACAAAGTCCCCAGCCATCACGGACTCCAAGTTGATGTTTCTTTAGGACCTCCTCACCAAAGCTTCTCTCAACATCATAATAACATTATTTATTATTCAGACTATTTTTTCAATGGTCTTCATGCTCTCAGTGTTCAGCCTAGTGTAATTCGCCTTACTAGAATTATGGGTGCTTACGTATCTGTGGGTGGCATTATCTCCAATCCAACAGGTTCTCCTCGCTTCCAATTGATCACTTACCCATCTTCGGTTAGAAAGAGCAATGTGAGGGTTTTCATTCTGTGGAGCTGAACTGCACCATACAAAATGTTACTGTCACGAACCCATATCGCGTCATTGGTGGCCTCAATCACGGCGAGTTCGAACCAAATCCAGATATTGCCGGCATTGGGGTGAGTCATACAAATATCCATTCTGGCATATCTAGCGATTAAATGTGACGGGCAGATCCTCTATGCATTCTTCTCCGTTGCAGCTGTCGCGCTGCTCATTAGCTTGATCTATCTTGTTCTTCAGACTACTCCGTTGATGAATTTTACTGGTCTCCACAGTAGTAATCATCAGCTACGAAACCCCAGCCGGTAAATTCCCATTCCCATTGCAACCCTAGATAATCCTAATCGCCTTTGCAACCAGTGCGCGGGAGGGTCACTCCTATAGAACCACCTGGGCCGACGTGTTCGAAGGTATTATCCTCAGCTGTAGCGACCAGCAATTGTTCACATCCGGTGCCTATGCCTTGACACTCCGTTATGCTCAAGGCTGCAAGATCTCCGCCTATCATTACAATGTTGTCGCCAACATGATGCTCATTACTTGTGCGACACATCTAATGTCCATCACTGTCGTCTCTCAGTACTGGAAGCACAAGTTGCTCGCCATTTTGCGCATTCTTCTTGTTACCGCACTATATATTGTCACCGCTTTGCTCCTCTCTAACCAGAACGCCGGATTAGAACTCCAATGGCCGACAGCCACGCCTAAGCAAAACGAGACCGAAACTTTACTCGTTCTACCAGCGGCGTGCTTCCAAAGCAATCGAGGGGCCGTGGACAAGACCCTGAAGGACAGCTTCGGCAGAGGTGGGCAACACCTAGCGGTGAACGCCATTGGAAAATCTAGCCCGAACAATCACATCGTAGGTTGGAACTTCTTCATTCTTATGGTCCTCTGGTACGGCGCCGCGATAATTGCTGAGGGATGGCGTTTCTGGCTTCACTGGTACCATCGCCGTGATGACATTCGGGGAAACGCGCCAAGTCGCTTCCCCCGACTTAGAGCCTTTTTAAGCATTAGCAACAAATGGATCAGCAGGTTATTTTGGGTATATCAAGCAGTTGGTACGATATTCTGCATGGTAGCAATCGTGATGACCTTTCTTTATATCCAGAGTTTGAGAGGCTGGATGAACAGATCTCCTTGGCTGAAGAAGGAAGTGGACGGAACGAATCCAGAGTACGACGCCACGAGTTTCGGACAGCTGGTGCCACTGCTACTAACCTTGTTGACGGTATTCACTACCTTGCAACTTATAGGGGGTAAGTCTCCACATCTCTAATGTTCCAGATTTTAGCGGAACAAACTGATATCTTTGTAGATAAGTTTAGTGATTTCTGGCACCAAGAAAAAGGACCTGATACAGAGGCAGCGCAGCACCTCAATGCTGTTCAAGACACAATCTCTCAGGAAATGCCGGAAAAGAAGCACGACACAACGTTGCAGGATTCGCAGCAGAAGAAGGACCAGACCACCGTCGAAGTCATCTCGGTTCCTCCGACGCCTCTTCTGGAACTGAATGAGCCAGAGTTTCTGAGCAAGTCACCGAGACCAACAAACTCAAGTCATTAGTGTGTCCATCCGGGAGGAGTACTGAGCTTCGGAATCGATGAGTACCTGATTATCTTTGAATTAAAAGGATCAATCGGATTGATTTGCCTCCGCATAGACTATACGGAGGAGAAGCCGCCCGCAAAGGGTGGCTGAGCGAAGTGGAAATCCTTGAGTGTTAAAAAGATTGAATTGCTCTTTATGTCTTTCACTAGTATACTTTGGAAGTGCCACTGCTTAATCATATCCTGCCCCCCTCGCCTCCCCTTTCTGGGAGACAGAGATTATAAGGAGGGTGGCGTGCGCAAAAAAAAAGAGTCACTGAAGACTTTCATGTGATCTAGGTCTTGGCAACTGCACCGCTTTTCCCATTTTCCATTTTCCATTTTCCATTCATTTTCCATTTTCCATTTTCCATTTTCCATTTTCCATTTTCCATTTTCCATTTTCTACGCACAGCGAAAGGTTCCGTGAGTACCCTGACAACGTCAAAACCTTTATCTACCCATTAGCCCTATTGGTGCATAAATTGCCTACATATTCGACCTGGTGAAATTGGATTGAGCACGGCGGTAGCGTCTCGGACCTCCAGCCACGACTTTTGGGACCGTCACTATACAACCGCACTACCGAGTGGCCCGATCACGAGCCAACATCTGCGCCTCGAACTCTAAGTTACACTGCAATCTCACAAGGTTCTCCGACTTGGCCCTGCCTATAAAGATATCTCTACCTTCACGGTTAGATCGAATGCTCTTCCTATTCATCGTTCGAGAATCCAATCATCAAAAATGACAATGTCAAAGCTAAGCACCGATAAACGAATGTACTCGCAGCCTGATCTGAGCAACAGACTCTAGATCTACCCTCACAGATTTATCAACGACGAGGAGGACACGCTCAAATTATTATCGTCAATTGCTCCCGAGGCGCGTCGGAAACATTCGGTATCCTTCCAGCCTTGCTCTGCCCTTGAATGCACTCAGAGGACAGGCTACTATATAATCCGTCTTCCGCCTTTGCCACACCTGTCCAGTCCACGCGAGACGTTCACACTGAGGACCGGCATGTCTCTTCTCAACGCAGAAATTGGAAGTGGAGACTCTTTGTCTTTAGCCTCAACCATCTTTACCAAAGGTCGCGTTTAACAAGCACTCTTGGGCCTGGATCTCCCTATCTGCAATCATACCCGTATATCCGACAAACTTGTCCTCGACCACTATCAACCCAAATGTTTGATCTTTGCGAAGCTAGACGGCCGCTTCAGACCTTGTGTTTGTACAAGGGCAGATCCAAAACGCTGGCCGTTGGGGGACCATTTCAAGTCTTGCCCACAATGTGAAACTCAAGACTGTTCTACTACTTTCGGATTCAGAGCCGAAGAACACGAATGTGATGGACGCAGATACCTTAGCCTTACAATCCATTTCTATCGACGGTTGGGGGCATTGGATGGTTCTACCCCATTGGACTGGACCTGTCATTCCTCCAAAGCATCAGCTCTTCGCACACTTCCCGACATGTACCTGAAGTGGGTGAGATCAAGGAGTTCCCAAATTCCACCGCATGAGGTGGACCATCAGCATTCAAGCAAGCACACGGCATTACGAAATCATATCGCTGAGATGTTCCACGCTACTCTCACAAATATTCGACCACCAAAATATGTGGAGGAGGAGCAGGCAATGCGGTCTGCCCGTGAGGCTTACTTTAAGCGACGTAATGCTGAGCAGGGTCCTTGGCATACTGATGCGAAGTCTCAGGGCGGAGAGGAAACTGGTACCACTGGTCGGAACATGCTAGACGATCCGCCTCCCTATGTCGCAATGGAAACAAAGTCATGATCTAGAAACAAATGAGCCACCACCGTCAGTGGTTTAGCATTCGAGCAGCCATCACTTACTTTACATGGAGCATTTATCCCCCTCTGCACCAAGACTCCTGACTCGCCAAAGCTCGGGTGTCCGCCAAACTGGCAACTCAATGTATCTGGCCTGCCCAACGATACGCAGCAATGCATCTTGATATGATTATGTCTATCCCGAAGTCGCATCAACGCATACAGGAGAGATATTCTGGACCCTACAAGGTCAAATTACGTACAACTAGTCCACTAGGGCGTGCGTGTTAGAAAGAGCAGCAATTGGTGCACACGACCTGGCATTGGGCATTACCACCTGGAGCTAGAACCCCACACAAAGCGCTCGAAAGAAATTGAGACAGATCACGAGGCTGCCACCATGGATGGATGACCTACCTGTCTTGCGAAATACTTGACAAAGTCGTGCTCGCATTGCTGGCGTTTCTGAAACCTCTGCAAGAAAGCTAATGGCCAGGCACACACGTCTTTTAGTCTATATTGAGTGGGAGCAAATAATTATGCACTTGGGCCGCTACGAAGTACCTTCGTTAAGACTCCTATCCAATTATGCCTTTGTCACGGAGCGTAAGCTTTGCAGAAGGATAGCAAATAGGATTCACAAATTGACAAATCACAAGTGTCGAAGATCGATCGTGACAACCTTCCTGCCGCTAACTATTGGAAAAACATGTTGTGCAGTCTTGACTTCCGTGGATATCCCCCCCCTTGCAGATTTAGCAACGGAGCCCCGCTGCTGACGGGATTTAATGATATTCTAGACCCCCAAGCTGGCTGGAAGGTAAAGCCATCATCAGCATTATGAGCTCACAAGCTCTACATTAAAACAAATCCGAGGCCCAACGGTGGTTGCTTGTCGAGATGCAATACTCTCTCCTCCTACTATTACCCCCTTTCTTCCCCAGAAGGCTAAGCTAGGTAAATAGCCACCCCATAGGAGCCCGGTCCTCATTATTCCAAGAAGAACCTCTTTTTAATGGCCTAACTAGCACCAGGAATCGTGGATCTTTTTGACGTAATAGTGGCACAGAGAGAGAGGGGGGAAGGGAGAGAGAGGGAGAGAGGGTTGCATGCACAGAGCTGGCCTGCCCGAGCCTAATATGGGCCCATTTCCCTGATTATTGGGAAGAAGAGAAAGGATTAAGAATATGGTACCGTGGGGACACAAAATGGATGCCAAGGTCTCAGTTGGAGTGAGATGACGAGGTGTGAGCAGTTCTTAGATGACGAGATGACCGCTTCCGGGATGTCCTGATTAGGCAAGCGAGTAACTATTCTAGATCAGAGTGAGGTTCGTAGCCAGATTTCGATGCTGAAAAGATAATCCATAACGGTAACTACTGGTCCCTTGATGATTTTCTCATAGCCTAGATTCACTAACACCCCGTCCTGTGGAGACGGAGAAAAGTCTCGATCAAGCGTTTTCTGTCCATTAACCACTGAAACTTGCTCTACTTTACTGCCAGTTCTTTCACCGCAATACCCAGTGACAACTTTTTCGCGCGAAGTAGAGAGTGGTTCTAACAAGTATATCCATGTCTTTGTCCATTCATGTGTGGCTTTGAGCAATAGGTCTGCGGCTCGCTTGTACAGTTTTGTTGCCAGAAGTTGCGACCCTCAGAAAATGAAAATGTAATTCCCTGCAGGCTAACGGACTGGTACATTCTGTTTGTGAACCTACCACGTATCACTTTCTTTTCCCTTGATATACTGTCCGGACTTCTGCGATTTAGGGAGGGATTTGGAGCTTGGGGCTCGAGAGGCTCGAGGCTCTTTGAACCTCTTGTAAGGTCCCCATTGCCTCCGATTATATGCTTGTGCACGAAGCTTGCTTCATATCCTTCTTACTGAAAGGCTCGGTGCGCATCCTGTGCAGACTCATTGGTTGTCCACCGGCTCTACAGCCAAGGATTCGGCCGAAAGAGAGTCAACCATACTGCTGTCATATTCAGTGCAGGATACTATAATAAGAATCAATCATCTGGAATGTTATTTCTTATGAAGAAGAATCAATAGCGACAAAAAACAAATCTGGCGTTGGATGCACCCGGAATCGAACCGGGAACCGCCCCTACCAAAGTTGTCACATAAACTTGAGTTTAGTGCTAAAGGGGAATTATGCCATTAAACCATGCACCCGACGTTGAATTATTATAATATTTGCAAAATATATTACTTTACAAACATGGAAATCCGCTTCGAAACAAATTAAGTTAGTGTCGATATATTCCCTCCGCTGGCAGTGTAGCAATGAGCGTATTTGGCACAAAACCTCGAGCAAAATGACCACTCCCTAAATTCTTTGTAATTTCAGCTTTACATCACACAACGAGCATGTCATTATTCGCTCTCATGTAATTACTCACTTTTGGGCTAGGCCTAATTATCACATAACGCCAGATCTCAATTGTGGAAGCTTTGGATTGATTGCGTCCTATGCACCAAGAAAGTATGAGAAACTTGCGCTAATTGCTACATCCATCTGTTGCCCGCGGAGAGGATACGAACCCAAGACAAATCCATCGTCTCTTTCTTTACTACTCGTTATTTAAGATACAACTGGCGAGTACGGCGATGCTGCGGCTAGGGAGTATATAAATTCAGGGTGTTCACAAGTGTGGAGTGGTGTTACCTCGGGGCCTGTTTAGTCCCTAACATCGTCGACGGTTCTGGACGCAGTGTCCTACAATAAAACGCACTCTCTCCAGAAACCCTGACGGCTCCTTTCAACATCACCATCATTGCCGCCAGCCCAGCTGGCTCGGTCCTCGCCTGCTCGCTGCTCGGTACGGATGCCGGAGGCCTCGTATTCGAAGCAGAGGACTCATTCGACGCTCGAGGCCAAGATGGGACCTGGGAATTGTACGAGGAGACAGGGTCGCTTACGCTGCATGAATGTGGGCTCTACGATGAACATCTTGGTACACCCTTTCCACGGAGAGACCATCAAGGTCTGTGACTAGAATATGATTTACTACACCAACTTCGGCGGCACGGCGCTTGGCACGGCGCTAGGCACCTCACGGGGGAGGTCTGAAATTGATAGGCAGAAACTATGTTTGACCCTACCGGGTCAGAAACGTCGACGAGGACTTGAACCTCCATTTCGCCAATGGCATCAAGAGGGGATTCGACGTGGGCGCGGACGGGACATGGAGCAAGCCTCCATCTCTCCTCACGGACAAGAAACCTTACTACTCCGGTGTTTTCGGCATGTTCTTTAAGATTTCGGACTGTGAGGCCTGCTTCCCTGATGTCCACAGTTTTATCAACCGCGGCAGCATTTTTTCCTCTTCTAACAGCCGCTCCATCACCGCACAGCAAATGGGCGACAAGTCCATCTGGGTGGGCACCTCTAGTGTCAAGCCCGCAGATTACGAGAACACCTGTGGGTATGATGTCTATGATGCGGAGCAGGCGAAGAAGGCACAGTTGGCTGAGTACAAATATTGGGCGCCCTTTATGTGAAAGATCACCGACGCCGCAGACAACGACTACATATCGGGCAAATCCCCTTGCACATGCTCCCCGTCGGCCATCGATGGACGCGGGGCCCGGGCGTCACCCTGATGGGGGACACTGCTTACCTGATGACGTCGTATGCAGGCGAGAGCGTCAATCTGGCAATGAAGGACGCCATCAATGTTGGCCGAGCTCTCAGTGAAACCCAAGTTGCCAGCACCAAGGGCGGGCTGGACAAGAAAGTCAAAGTGTTTGAGGAGGAAATGTTTGTGAGGGCAGCCAAGGTGAGGGCGATGATCCCGATGCTTCTCGGAAAAGGGGCGCAGAGGGCGACGATTGGGAAGTCCATTGTCATCAACATGACGGACGAGGAGGTACCTTGGTTTGCAATGCCCATTTTCAAAGTTTGGTCCATATTCTTCTTCTACAAGATGGTATACTAGAGAGGATGTTTCCTGATCATTGTACAAGGAAACAAGATAATTATACTATGGGTTTTTTGCCAAGGGTACCATGCAGTTTCTCCCTCGGGAATGTTGCTATTCGCAAATACATTCTCAGTTGTGGCATTCTTGGGAGGGTGGTTATAATAGAGTTAGGACTCAGCTAAATATCCACCTCAGAGCAGCCTGAGGGATCTTTCGACATCTTATAAATTAAAGCAGGATGAGTGGAGCTGCTAGACTACCAGAATATGAACGCCGGAATACTTAGGTGTAGATGAATGGTGAGGACCGAGAAATCGTGGCATGAATTTCTATCAGATGCTGGCTCAAAGATCCATCCGGAGTCAGTCCACGGAGAACTCTCTAGTTAACGAAAAGACTTATTACTCGCATTCTTGATACATTCTTAGGAATCTCTGACTTCCTGGGCGTCAGCTCCATGCTCACTCCAAGTCTGGGCAAGGATACGATCGTGTCAAACCACGTTCGATTCATGTTCTGTATTGTGTTTTTTTTTTAGGAAAAGGAGGAACTGCCTGTATGAGGTGCACTAAGTGAAATGCCAAGATTTCAAGCGAATGAACAAAATGCTTAGGAACCACAAAGACTAATTAAAATGCATCATTCAATCACGTGACCATAACATTAACAGCACCATCTGACAGATCGCTTTCCGTCTGCAAAGCCAGAAATTCTTGGTCTGGTTCTGGTCGCCAACGTTCCTCCCTGTACTTAGCTCTTAGAACACCAAGTTCGTACCCGAGTATTGCTCGACAAACCAAGAGCGAAATCAAATAACGACTAATAACGGTCACGGCATCCCTAACAGTGATGAATATCAGGCTTGAAAAAGCAAGGGTACCAAAGATGAGATGGCAAACAATGTTAAACGAGACGAACCAAGAAACGACAACTGAGAAGAGGGTTTCTTCGCAGGGCTCGACTCTCAGCGGCTTTAGTTCTGCTACAGGAGTAAACTGGATGCTGAGCCAATTGATGAATGTCTTGTATGGCCTCTCGCAGTTGATATGGGCCCATAGCACCCATGAACAGTACATATGAGCAATAATGCCTAAGAATGCCCACAATATTGGCAAGTACCATAACTGCGGTGCAAACACACAAATTGTTTGCAGGCCTAGCTGACGACTATTTGTTGCGTTGTTTGCGACGGCCCCAATGGCGAGAATGAATTCAAAGATCATCACTAGATACTGGGAGAGAGGTGTAAAGCGTCGTAGACGCGCATGAGGGTTCCTGACTTGCAAGTTCTCGACCGCCTTTTTATAGTCGACAGTTCGGAACGGGTATAAAGAAGGTGTTCCAGCGGCGAGACACATTCCAAGAAGAGGGCGTCGCGCGATAATAAAGAGCGAGGACGTCTCTTCGACTGAAGGCCCGAGAGCAGCGAGGATGGACGGTGTAAGACCAAGCAACACGGCTGCACCAGCCATGTTAACCTTCATCCACTCCGTAGTGTGGTCGAAGACACAGCTAGCGGCCGGAAACACTAACTGGCTTGTGTTCACTGCCCCCATCCATCTGTCATGGTGTTCGAAGCGAGTCGAGTTCTTTTGGCCAGCGAGGTAAAAGGCATATTCGTCGCTGCAATTCTGACGTAGAATTCTCTGATATATGTGACGATATTCAGGGTACCAGCCCTGAAACTGGTTGGTAGCTGCGAGGACGGGAGAAAGGAGAGCGACAAGAATAAAATGAAACGGAGTCTTAAAAGTCATGTCGTAAAGCTTGGCTCTGCATTAACTCAGTTAGCAACTGCAGTCATCGCGAATATCGTCGAGAAACGTACTGATACTGAGATGTCTGCCGAATATGCTAGCTTGAGGATGTGCACGCTTCTAACGACTAATCTCAATCGGCGGCGGGGCTCCAAGAAGACTTAAACTCTCGCTCATTGCTGCGGCTCAAGTTGCAAAGCTGAATATGCGCAGCGCCTTCAAGCGGGAAAGCAATCTGAATCAGGGCCAGTTGAAGGCTGCGGGCCTCCAGCTTGCATATAAGCCATTACATGGCTACTGATTGGACGGTTGCACCCAACAGTAAGCCTGACGCGACGACGTCCACTCTTTGAAGGCCTAAAGAAACCGAAAGTGGTCTGGAGGACAAGGCTGGCCCCCAAATCCTACGAGGCTGGACCCGATGTGGGCGTCTGTCCCGCGTTGTTCCGCGTGCTGACTCGCTAGCCTCTAAGATATCTTCTCTACACGTCTTCACAACATCACAAGCTTAGTCATTTTTACCCATCAAGAGGCTACAATGCCATTTCCTTTACCATCTTTCCCCTACCCTCCAGCGGGGGACGGATTCTGGAGCCCGGTCACCGCCACCCTAAATTGGTGCGAAGAGGTACGTGTCTAATTTCGCATTTTTGACACAACGAGGCTAAATAAATGAAACTAGGATTATTACGCAACGGTATATTCCGCTGAGATCATCAACACTCTGACAAACGTCTATTTTGTGTATCTTGCAGTTAAGGGCATCCGGAATTGCCGACAGAACGACCACGACCCAGCATGTCAGGTTGCGTTCTTCAATATGCTGTTCATCGGCACTGGAAGCATGTTCTTTCATACGACACTCAACTGTAACATGACCCGGAAAGGTGTATATCCGAAGACTAAATTCGTGCCAGATTGGATGCAGCTTCTGGATGAACTGTCGATGATCTACCTCACCTCCACCACATTCTTTGCCATGTTCTCCTTCGGCCAAAGCAGGGTTGTCAAAATCCTCGTCCTACTGTTCACAAGCTCATTCAGCATGTTTGTGACGCTGTACTACCATTATTTAAAGGATCCTGTTTTTCACCAGAATTCGTTCGCCATACTCGCAGTAACAGTGATCTTCAAAGGCGTGTACGAGATGGAATATCTTCTCCGGCCGTCTAAACGACTGAAGAACCCGTCATATTCAGAGAAAGAGCAGAAGAGGGTGGATGAGAGAGATTTGTCAATACTGCACACCATGTGGGCGCTAACAATTTGCGGCGTGGCATCAGTTGGCTTGGGCTTCTTGATTTGGAATCTGGACAACATATACTGCTCAAACCTGCGCCGTTGGAGACGAGATATCGGGTTGCCGTGGGGGATTGTGTTCGAGGGTCATGGTTGGTGGTAAGTGATTTTCACTACAGTCACGGCTATGGACACTAGTATTGCATATCTAGGCATCTATTTACCGCCCTTGCCGCTTACTACAATCTGGTATGGCTTTCATGGCTAAGATATTGCCTGAAAGACAAGCAAGACGATGTGGCTCTGCAGTGGCCATCGCTTTTCACGTCGCTCCCGTTGGTTTACCGAAAGGAGAATCTTCCCGCACGTGCAGCGGAGAATAGTGCGAGTGATGTGAAGCTGGAATAACGTCGTGCTAAAACCTGGGTCCATTGGCTCAGAGAGTTACTAGCCCTGGGAAATCGGAGTTTAGATACTATGATGAGACCTCGAAGCACGACTCCGTGTAGCTTGGTAAAATTCTGTAGTCTTAGCGCATATCTTTAGCTACCCTTCTCCTGGTAAGTAGCCGGTGTTGGAATTGGCCGTACGCGTACAGCCAAACCCTTGGCGGTCCCGTGTCAGCGCCCTATAGATTAGCCTTCTCCTCCTTCTGAGATAGATTCTGCAGGTAGATAGAATTCCATTCATCCACTTCATCAGCCGGATGGTACCAATGTGAAAGGACCGCCAAGTTCAAGTAATTGGCTGCAAAGTGATGTAAGCTAAAAATGCGGCCCGCGAGGATCAGCGTTCTAATTAGATAAAGTTCCCCTCTTCCTTCCTTCTTGAGATTAGTTGTGGATTAAGTACTAGTACTAGTAATGCTTGAGGGCGCCAAGTGCTATTAGTAGAATGACAGTCATTCTGTCAAATGACCACCATACTAATATGATAAGAGAAGCATATTTTGACCATACTATAATCATATTTTCAGTAAAATACTTTATAATTAGTAAGATTTTATTAGATTATAGTCGACTAAGCTGTACATCCTTGTACTCTCTAGGTAATATCATAGTTAGGCTTAGTCTAAGCGCACTTTGATGGCTCCCTTAGCATTATTGTTGACCTTCTGAGAGGGCTAATTGGCC